TGTCATTTCAATTCTATTTATTTATTGGAGTGCTTGTGGATACACGATATTTTTTGTTTTTCCGTCTGATGCGTACATGAATAAATCAGAAGATTTTCCGACGCGTGAACAGGCCACATACAGTTGTACTGTACATATGAGAAGCACGGATTCTTTAAATTTAGCCCACATACTCACAGTGATTGTTAGAATTTCGATATTCCTCATTTATATATATATTTTTAAATCCTTTATAATTTTGATTATTTAATTGCTCCTTCCTCTCTTCCTTGGCATGTTGTGAAGTTTCTGATAGTTGGATAATAAACCGTTTTATTGTAATTTGTCTTTTTAAATTATTTTGAGTCAATATTAAAATTTGGAAAAGGGATACCTAGATTGGTAAAATACGCGAATTTCTTCCTACAACTTCGGTTGTTGTTCGGGGTACAGTTAAAGTTTTAACGAAGTTCAAGTGAATACATAATTAGCAAAAAAAAAATTGAAATAAAGTGATTAAACAAAAATTATTACAAATATCGTAAATAACAAATGCATATACAGTATAGAGATATTTTTGGAGGGGGAAAGGTTCTTCACAATTTGAAATCGATCAAACACACAGTGCTCGAGTGCTCATGTAAACGCGCGCCATCTATCGCAGGATAAATGTACTTCGCGGGAATGTATTAAAAAAACTTTCCAAAGTTTCATGGCAATCGTACTATGCTACAAACTTTCGCCGGAATATATTAAACGACTTCCCAAAGTTTCACGGCAATCGGATAAACTGTGTGGTAATGCATGAAGGACAGACAGACACACACATACATTCATTTTTATATACTGTAAGGTCTCTTTTTATGCGGATTATTTTTATGCGATTTTGAAGTTGTGCGATTTGTATTTCATTCAAAAATTTCTTAGACAAACATACATATAGGCTTGTTTAGGAAGCCCGCGTATAGACAGTCTCCAAAAATCGTGGAACGCTCAAAGCTCATTCCATTTGTTCCACTGACATATAACGTTTATGGATGTAAAGGACAGCTAGATCTACCTTAATCGCTTTAGTTCCTAGCAATTTTTGATATAAATGTAATTAAACATAAAAAATACTTAAAACTGAAAAAAAAACAACGAGAGAAATGCGTTAATTTTGAAGAAAAAGCTTCAAAGTTTAACTTCCTTTGTCTCGCCCTTCTGTGAAATTTAACACCGATGAGTCATTGTTTACACATCTGGATGACCTTGAACACAGCTGAAGTTGGATTTCCCGGGGCATTCTCATAGACGTCGCGGGAGGACAAAGGTTTAAAGTACGGTGAACACTAGCTGCCCGTATATTTTTAAACATTTTAAAAAAATTTGGAGACAAAAAACATTCCAAAAATTCAAAAAAATTTTACGGTCTTAAGAACCGTGTTTTATGTAACGCTATGTAACCTGCCCGAGTTAAAAACACCTTTAGTTCCTCGCCCGAGTTATTAACTCTTCACATCCAGATGTCAGTGATTTGTTTTTAGAGTGAGCTTTTGCAATTCAGGGATTCCCCTTGTACATGATACCATCGACAGGTCGCTATTACATCATTCTGAGTTTCGCATTGAAAGGTATAAACTGTAATTGTTTTAAAACTTAATTTTATTTTAGCGGAGTTTTGTTCATTTTTATAATAAGTAGCGAGTTTAAATTTTGCTGATTTCAAGTTGCAGTAATAAGCAGCCTATTTCTTTTAATTTCTGCAAACATTTTTATGCGGTTTTAAGTTAATTTTAACTCGTTGTTTTGGTTTTATGCGATTTTAGAAAATTACGGAACGTGTCCCTACTTTTTCAAGGCAAGTAAAGTCTTTTTTTTATGCGAATTTTTTATATGCGCTTTTCTGCAGAACGTATCCACCGCATAAAACGAGACCTTACAGTATATAGACTAGCCTTACCCGTCGCGCATTGCTGCGATCTCAGAAGAAACGAAATTCAAGCAAACTCGTGATGATAAAATTAAATTTACATTTTATCATTTTTATTGAAACTTATATTATTCATTTTCATCGGGAAAACATTTCAAAGTGTCGTTTCAATTCTATTTATTTATTGGAGTACACGATATTTTTTATTTTTCCGTCTGGTGCGTACACGAATAAATCAGATTTTCCGACGCGTGAGCTGGCCACATACAGTTGTACTGTACATGCATTCTTAATGAGGAAGTAGTAACAGAAGTGTGTGAGATTTTTAGAATTCTTACCGATTCCAACAATAGAAAATCACTTTGGTGATACAGTACTGCTATTTTTCAGGATAATGCCAAATGCCATCGAGCCGAACGAAACACATTATTTTTAAAATCTAAGGGCTTGTAAATGACCAAGATTTAAATCCTATTGAAAATTTACGGGCAAAGCTGAAAATCTGGTTGATGAAAGGATGCCAATAATTAAGATGAATTTAAAGAAGCCATTAAAATTAGCTGGAGTAAAATAACTTCAGAAACCTGCAAAGAATTAATCTTGACAGGGCCAAGATGCATAAAAGATGTAATAAGATTAAGAAGAGGATCAACAGAATATTAACTTCTATTATTTTGCATGTGATCCTTTTATTATTGTTGATGTTCTTTGCCAATACTGCTTTATGTAAAGATTCTTTTTTGGGAAAATGGTTTGGTTTATTCATTTGAAATTTAAGTGATCAACACTTAATCGCCCAACGAACAAAATGTAATTGTTCAAAACAAAAGTATAGATTTCCATTTTCTTGTAAAACGATTTCAAACTAAACGACTTAAACATCAAGTTCAAATATTTTCTGCCAGGGGTTGTACAGTAGCTATTTGTTCTATGACTCTTCGATTATTGTTTTTTAGTGTTAATCTTTCCAAAGTCAATTCGAACATGGCGGCACAGTTCTGTCCGATCTCGTTAAATACCGGGAAAATTTGCCAGAGCAATCGAACTTGCATTTGATATATATAAAGATTATTTCCGATACGCTGCTTTTTCATATAATATATAGTATATTTAATAACATAACCAGATCTTAGTCGGATTTATTCGATACACGGAAATACACCGACGAGTTAATTACAATAATTGACGGGACTATCCCTTGTATTATATTAATTTGCCAAACCAATATAAATTATGACGTATTTCGTTTCGTATAAGACGAACTACGTCATTGGCTACTTCGCTTATTGCTTGCCACCTACAGGGCCCTTAGATTCAAGCAGAAGGGCACATTTTTGTATTCGTTTTATAAGGTCGTTAGAGTTTAAAGAGATTTTTGTGAAAACTTATTCCCGTACAATTGATATATTTACAAAAAATAAAACCAATTTACTAGGATAATTTCTGCAGCGTGCTTTGCTATTTAATATAATTTAGGAAATAAGGATGCAAGTTTAGTTCCATTCACTCCCGTTAACTTGACTTCTATATATTTTTGCATCTGGACAATGGGACAGTATATTTATATTTAGTACGACTGAATACGTCGATAATTTTCTATACGTAATTATAAATGTTATGTATTAATTATAATTATATTGTGCTGAACTGTCTTATGTACAGAATGTTGAAACACGAAAAGTTTAAATTCTAACGGTTTAATATCCTTCTAGTGTAAAATTGCTTTATGAATAATTTCTGCCATCTAACATCTGTAATTAGACTTTAGATGACAGAAATTAAAACTTTCAGTAATATAAAGAGTATTGCAATATTTCAAATATAAGAGAGCCTTTAAAAATAAATTAAGTAATAATAATAGTATAAAAAACAAAGCCTGTAACAATCATTCTCATCAAAATAATTTTGTATTTAGGATCAAAGAATCTGGAATATTGCTTTTTGAGAAATTAAAAACTTTTGGAGATGAAAAGCAAGGTAAATTAACTTTTATGCAAATATATTAACTGAAACATTAAGCATAAGTAATATTTTATTAAAAATCTAAAAAGATGTTAATAAATTTATTAAAATCAAACAGGCAAAATTATAATTGTATCATAGAGAGAAACTTACTAAAAGAAAATTGGTGTTCTGTAGTTTAAAATTTGTTTGAATTGAGATAAAATTTGACACAAAAAGATGTCAAATGTTATAAATTCATTTAAAATTTTCATCATGTTTCCAATTTGCATTTGTTTATACTTAATATTTGTAATGAGGAATTCCAGGATTTGGATACATCTTTGTGCGAGAAGTTTTGCATCACCCTAATGTTTTAAAAACGTCGTCGTCGCGCATTTTAATATAGAAAAATTTGGACACTACTTTTGGTTTTTATCGACGCATTCTGCACTTTTTGGACGAGGACGCGAGCAATCCGACTGAATGAAAAGTGTTGACGTTTAACAATTGATAACTATCAGATTTAGAACAAGATTATTAAACATACAAGCTTTTATTATTCATGAGAGCAATTTATTACAAATACAAAATTTCTATTCACATTTGTTTAAAATGCTAAATATTTGCAAGTTTAAAAAGCACGTATTATTTAGATGTACAATTAAATAACCAGGCAATATATTTCGAACTCTAGCCGAAGTCGTTCGATTATTCTAAGAACTAGAGTTCAATATTCACGAAATATTTGGATTCTAGATGCTTTACGAGCATCATTTGTCCCAAATAAACTGACTGGAATCAACAACAGCTTTCACTTTTTTTTTCTTTTCTTAGATCAATGTTAGTTTTTTTTTTGTATATATTTATGTATATACATATATTTATGATATAAAATTTCACATAACCAAATTTTTTCAAATATAAAAATCACATTTGTGTGATGCAAAACCTTTCACAATTTTGTAAATATTTTTTTTTAATTATTTGTACACAAAATTTCGAATTTATTTACCTTCGTCTGTTTTGGAATCTTTGGAAGGGAATCTGTGCATCTCCCCATGCAGAAACGTCTCCCCCCAGGCCAGAGTCCCCGCGGAAGCGGGATCTGGCAGCGGGAGGGTTCGTCATGCACCGTGGCGCGCCGGCATCATTAACAGTCGTCATCAGAAGAGTACCAAGGCAGTTTATTAGGGAACATATCGTAAGGACATTATATAAGTCACATGTAAGAATATTACCAAACACCACTCGTCTGGCTATATATATGTATATATGTACATCATAATCTGCAGAAATGAGCACATTTTAGAAAAAAATGTGCCATCAGAAAGTGATATGATGGGAAAGGTACAAAATTACCAATATCAAACTGTTGACTTACAGTTTGAGTAGGAACTCCGTTAAGAACAGAGAAAAAATAAAATGATACATAATCTGTACATGATAGTTGCAAAGGAAAAAAAACATGATGAACGACACACACATCTTTCATGCTATGGGAAAATATCCAGATTATAAGGTAATATGTCAAAAAAACTAATTTCTAGGTAAGGTGTAATTCCACTAGTACATTAATTCCAATAATTTGTATATGTGCACAGCACAACACACACCGAATAAAGCATGGAATCTTTTTCGTGGAAAATGGGGGGATTCAATTAATAGTGTTTAATTCTGTCATATAAAATACAGAATTGTATTTTCTCCACACCCAAGTAAAGTTTTAACGTTTTTTAATATTACATTTGGTTGTGCTACTTGCTACACGCAAAAGGTTTGAAGATAGTAAAGTATGCTAATGTTATTAACAAGATAACAATTTAGATGTAAAAATACCCAAATAAATATACAAAGTGGATGTGTTATTACATGTTGTCATTCAAAATAAAAATCACAGTTACATGATGGTCCTGTACCACACAAAATATTTTCACACAGTTAATGTTCCTAATACACATTTTTCGATATAATAACTTGGCTAGCATATAGAAATAAGGGCAACATATTCTTTGTCACGATGCTTACATTCACAGCAAAAAATTCAAACCCTCACCAGACACCACAATGTATAATGAAAAGCACCAATAAACTCCTGACAGATACTAAAAATGGTACATACTGCCTTCGATAAACACAATACCAATACTTGCTGACAAATGTATGTGATCACCAACTTGTAGTGTCTGGGTGCAAGTAAGAAATATTCAATTACTGCTCCAATATGCAAAGTTCTGCTTATTGCCACCGGGTCCCTTCTGCTGACTGAGTGTGTTTCTCTGTGGTCCGGTCGGAGGATGGCCGGGATCTTGCTGAAGATGGTGATGGAGCAGAGTGGAATGATGTTGTCCGTGGGCCAGAACCGGAATGAATGGAGTGGCGGCGTACGGAGCAGAAGAGACGCCGAGGGGACCCGTTGTCTGACTACCGGCTAGGTTGAAGGGTGGAGGAGTTCCAGCATGAAATCCAGGCTTCTCATACGACTGAAAGATAATTTTGTCAGAACATCAACAAAAATTAAACCAGAGCAGGAAAACTTCGTCGTGTTGAGAGGGACTCACCTTGGCTAGCTGTGCATGATTTTTATTGTACACGGCAGCTGAGATGTCAGGCGATCCTGCTGTTTTGGAGAAAGAAAGTATTAATATACCTTATAAAAAATTTATTTTTTTAACATTTATTATGCTATACATAAATGCATTCATAATTTATAACAAACCTAATACCTAATCTAATGCAACTAAATTCACTTATACATATTAAAACTACTATCTCAATCAATGGCTAGTAATTACTGATGGCAATTAATAAATTAGTAACAATTATTTATCAAAACTTTAGGATTTTTGACAAAACTCACTTTTGTTCATCTTAAAGGGGGTTATGGTGGTTTGTGTCACCCATACACATACAGTGCTCAATTAAACAGGACCAGGGCTAATGGTTAGGGAGGATAATACAAAATTTTCTACAAATAATTTTTCCATCTGTGTTCTTGTAAGAACAAGTTAAAATTTCATTAAATAGTTTATATTTTGGTTCTTTCTGTTTTATAAATGTGGCAGAGCAAATTGGGAATCTAAGCCAAACTCATTTCTCTGGATCTAACAAAAGCAAACTGCACAATTTGTTTAAAACAGTTTAATTAATGTGAAGCATATTTTATTTTAATTTGATAGATACTTTATTGTTGATTATTCATCTCTAGAGCTTTATCTTATTGGATAAAGTGGAAGTTGGGACGAGGAGGAAGAAGAAAAAGGTGACTTGCAGAGTAGAACAAGAGGAGGTGAGGCAATACCAATGCCAAAGAATACCTATAAATAGCAGGTTTTTAATCAAATACGATGCCAAAGTTGTTGGCAGTATGGATAATTATTTGCCCATTAATAGATAAAAAAGGAAGTAAAGGATCACACAACAAACTAAAGAAAAGCACAAAACCTTCTGTCAATCTTAAAAAACTGTTGTAATTTTAAAATCAAAGAAACAAAAGTATCGAGATTGACCTGTAATAAGTGGAAATCAGAGTTAATGATTTTTACATTGTCGGCATAAGCAGCAATAGTATAATTAAGATTGTGGAGACAAACAAGAAAAAGGGAATTACTTAAAATACTCTTGTGATATGCCACAGATGGAGAGAAATTGCAAAAAGTCATGCAGTTTAATTCCAAAAGATGATTATGATGATGATAAAAAGCCATTGAGTAATGCCACAATAGTGGGACATACAAAATGCAATTACATCTAACGTGAAAAAGGAGTCCTCTGAATCAAACACCTGACCAATGTCAATAGATAAGACCTGTGCCAGTAATTAATTAAATATAGTATTTAAACTTCATTAAATACACACATTTAATGAAGTTAATTTCTATAAAACAAATTTTTGAAATCCAGATAGATAAAAAACCTTATTTTTCATATTAATAAATACTAAATGTGCTAATAAATAAATAACATAATTTCGAGAGACAACTTTTTATTAAAAAATTAATAAAAAGTTGATTTTCTAAAATTAGTAGTAATTTAATTTATTTGCAAAAATGGTCTAAAGTTTCATTAACATAGCATAAAGTTTCAGTGACAGTTGCATAGCTCGCTGATGCAACTGTCACTGGCCAGATGGATATTAAAGTTAAAATACAATATCATGGTACTCCTAGAGATCAAAACCCGTGCATATTTGAGGGCAGTTTCATAAGTTTTTTGATGTATTTGAATCTGTAAAAATGCTCTCTTACTGACAGAAACAAATAAAATCTTAACTATTTAAATAAAGTTAGAATTATCCATTAAAAGTAAAATAAGTTTTGTCAAAAACCACACAAAAAATATCCAGTAATCTTTTCAATAAAAAATTATTTCAATCATAACATTTTCTTGATTTTAATGAAAACAAACAGTTTTCTCTGTTTAGTTTGTTTGCATACACGAAAAGAAGACAAAGTATGCTTCATTACCAGTGGAATTTTCCATTTAACAAACTCACCACGTTTTCCAAAGGCAATTTGTCATATGGAAGTTGGGGCACATTACTTATAATTAGTCATCATCATCTTTTTATTTTGTTATATTAGTGTTTTGTTTAAGTTTTTTCCTAGAATATATACATATTCATTTGAATCTAAATATTAACAATTTCAATGTTATCTGAAATTGAAACTATGGTAGTAAAATTTATCACTGGAGACAGTGGAAACAAAATATAAAATTAAAATACATATTTAAATTAATAATAATTTAAGAACTTATAAATAACATTCAATTATTCTAATTTATCTGAATATTAGTGAACAAATTCATTTCAATTTTACAATAAAATGGTAAAAAACTCAATAGGTCACAAATTTTCTGAAATAGCAAAATGATGCAAATATAAGCCATAATGTTTTATGCGCCAAAAATCACGACTTGAACTCTGGTGCTTTAAATGTTACGGCTTCACACAAATTCAACTTCAAAACAGATATTTAGCGCCAATATTGTCTCAATATTTTTTTCAGCAGAAAACATTGCATTTAGCATTCAATTCTTCAATAAAATGTATTTAAAGAAAAATGGCATTTACAATGTTATGGCACAGTATTCTTCATATATCTGCTACCAGTGCAGATCTAGATATAAAAAACTGACAGCATTACTATCACCATAATTATATTGCTACTTTCCATCCTTCTAAAAATGTCTCTACATGCATCAATCACAAATTTTAAAATTAAATTAAAAATTCTTTTTAAAAAATAATGTATAGAGTTTGGTTAGGTTACAAGTAAAGTGTTTGCAAGTATGACAAATGCTGTATATTCTTTAAAAATTGGAAGAGGATATGTACCCACTGACCCTACCATGCATTTGTACAATCTACTAACTTATATTAAAGACAATATGTATTAGAGACTTTCTAGAGAGAGAAATTATTACAAGAATAAAGGTAAAGTAGTCATCTTCAATGAATTAACAAGCACAAATATTCAGCTAAGAAACTGGGCTCAATTTAGATACATTTTATATATATATATAATGTATCAAATATAGAACAACAAATTTATAAATATTACTTTTGAAAATATTTATTAAAACATTCCATATTAAAAAATTTCAACTTTCTTTATTTCATTATTATTAACAAACCCTCAAACACCAACTTTCTATTCAATTAATATTTTTCTGCATATAAATTTTCAGAAATGCAATGCCAAAATATTTATACTTTAGCCACTTAATTAATCATTTTAATTTTTAGATCATCTTACACAACTTGCTAGGAGCACTTACTATAGAAACAAGATGAAACGAGTTGGATTGATTTTCTAACATTTTGAAACCCTTTTACTAATGTTGTCTTTGTAATATTTCTCGAGCTTTGGCAAGAACTTCATACAATAATAAAGCTCTTATTTCTAGAAGTGTCCCGACACTTGTGCAAAAGGCAATCAACAAAAAAGCATCAAGATGCAATAATTTTCGACAAATTTTAATTTTTAGAACAAATGGTATGGTATTAATATAAATAAATTTAAGAATAACATTATAAACAAACAATATCAACAATGACTGTGCAACCGGCACAACGGAAATTTTAAATAATGATGATCAAAATGAACAAATAAAAATAAAGCACTTTTGGTAATTAAATAAACACTTAATATAGAATAAAACATTAAACACTAACAAAATTTGTAATTTTGAATGCCAACATGGGAGAAGATTAAAAAGGTAAAACTTTACTATGCAGGCAAAAATTTCTCTGAAGACAAGACTTAAAAATATTTAAATAATACTTCAAAAAGAACTTCTAGAAGATTATTAAGAATAATATAAAAACTGACTATTCACAAAAGTCAAAAACAAAATTAATTTGAATTAATTAAGTATATCTATTTTGACAACAAATCCTCAACTGAGCCATACATCTTAAACGATGAGGTATCTGGGCTCAAGCCCCGGTTGGAAAACTATTCTTTTTCATGGAAGGAATTTTGTAGAAAAATAAAAGCTCTCAGTATTCGCCGAGCAGAAAGGGGGGGGGTCGAAGAAAATATTTTTTAAAACATTTTCGCATAATTTTCAAAAAATTTTATGTTTAAAAAGAAAGACAAATCGCAAATTTTATTCTAATTTAGATAGAAAAGGATTTTAGTATAAATAAAATTTAGACTAAAATCCTCTTCTATCTAAATTTTATTGTCTGGAATAATTTACAGTATTATGTTCAAATTCCTGTGCCTATCTTTGAGTGTCACTAAATGTAAAAACAAAAATAACTGCTATTGTTTAAGAAAGCTAAAAAACTATTTTCTTGCTTTCTTAACCATAGAAGTTATTTTTTTATATTTGCATATAAAATCCTAGCAATTATTAGATATAAAATTTTGTTATCTACATTTACACTTAAAGCATATTGTAAAAGAAAATGAATCACCAAAATATCCCAGCTATTTATTTGACAGGTTTGACATTTGAAAAAATTGACCTTATAAGAAAGTACAATATCAAATTAAATTTTTAAAATCTTACAATGAAATTAATGCATTAACAATATTAATGTTATGCAACGATTTATTTAAATTGAAATATCTTAAAAATTGTAAACTACAATATTTGTTTTTTTATTTATACTTTTTGTTTTTCAACTTTTGTACACAACATACATTATAATACATGTTTAATAAAATTTCAAAGCATATAATTGAATAAAAGGTTTAAAATCAAAAACACAATAAAATGATTTAAAATTAAAAAAAAAAATTCATAGAAGCTATAAAAGTTCTAGAAAAGTTATGAAAAATCTTCAGCTAAATCAATCATAAGAACAAGCTGAAATCTGTTCATTCACTTTGGAATAAAACCTAATTGTTATTTTATTACTAATTAAATTCAGAAAAATCATTTTGTGAAATATTTAATTCATTTATATTATATTTAAAGTTAAAAATGGAAAATTTTACATTCACAAGATTATATTTTGGGAGGAGATTTTTCTTATTTGTATAGTGTATTTATTAGCTTTGATGTTAATGATCTTTACATTATTATAATTATATATATAGAGCTAAACAATAATAGATCCTTGCAATAAAGTCAAAAATAATCTGTATTTTTTCATTCATTTACTTTCAATTAATCAAATATAAAAATTAAAAACACTTTCTTTTTTTCATAAAGTTTGTTAATATCATAATAAATTTCTCAAATCATTTTTCTAATCATACAAGAATGCTGATTTCTATACTATATACCAGGGCTTCTTAAACATTTTTTATTTACGACCCCATTTATGATTGCAACTTTTTTTCGTGACCAAAAAAAAAAAAAAAAAAAAAAAAAAAAAAANCGACCCAAAGAAATATATAAAATAAAGATATATACAAATTTTCAAAAACAATAATGGTGTACTACCACAGTTCACTCTTGTATTACAATGGAACAGAGACAACTGAATACACTGAAAAATGACAACACTACACTAGTTCACACTAGTGTTGCTGAATCGTCTCGCTGCACCAGAAGTGACACAAAGTGCAACTCACAAAACCTATGACACAAAACGTGTCATTTTCAAACTCTCTCAAATTATTTTCAATATTTTGCATTAAAATCTTGCAACCCCATTTGGGGTCGCAACCCGTAGTTTAAGAAGCCCTGTTATATACAAACAGAATGTTGAAAGATAAAAATTACTGTATTGTGTATATTGGTAATCATTAACAAGCTATTCAGATTGTATGTTACAAGAATAAAATTTTGTGTTAATATTGAATTTGTAGACTAAATAAGAAATATTTAAGCATTAACAAAACATATAATACATATAAATAAAAAGTAGCTTTAAGTATGAAGAAAAGTTTGAAGAATATTAAATATGAAATATCAAAAATTATAAATGAAGATATAAATCTAGACTACAAAGACTAAGTATATATTATGTATACTGCAATACATAGTGGATAATTAAAGTATTTTATGAAAGAAACTTCTTAAAATGATACAAATCCTTCAAAACAAGCTTGCGTTTTCAATAGATTAAAAACTAAATTTAAGTAACTTGTTATTATTATGCATGTGTATACTAATTCACAAAATATGTACATGTTAGCATTTTAGTTCAGGTTTTTACTTACATGTAACTCCAAAATTCTTCATGCATACACAAGCTATTTCATTATATGAGCAATAAAACAAATAAATGAATTTTGTTTACATTTAGCCTAAACATTTTATTTAAAGGGAAATCTATTAATAGAAAGTTAACAGAAATTTTTAAAAATGTACTAAAATCATGTTTCAAAGATTGAATTTCCCCCAAAATGTTGCCTTATAACCAGAATCATATCCTTATTATTGATATGAGAGAACAGAATTCAATCAGTTATGTCAATTACAATTTTTCATCTTCGAAATCTTTCCGAAACTGGGATTGTATAAATACACAATGCCAAAACCAATACTAGCACTGTGAAAAGAAAAAATTTACTAATGTTTTTGTCTATATAATATAGACATCATGAGGTAAAAACAATATAGAACAGAATCAGTTGGAACATCTCAAAAAACATTCGATTTTTCTTAGCTGTTTTGTTCTTTATCATTTTCACCTTATGATGTCTATTTTATATAGATGAAAATGTTAGTGATTTTTTTCTTTTCACAGTGCTGGTGTTGGTTGTGTGTTCTTCTCCTGTATTAGTTGAAAGATGATCATTTTCCAAGAGAGAAACTTTCTCAAGTATGTAAAACTCAATTTATTTGAGTTTTCAATACTTTACTTCAAAATTATGTTGTCCAGATCAGTGAGCGGAGTTGGTAAACAAAAAGTCAGACCCCGACTCTGGCAAATCTGCAATGTGCTACTCCAACTCTGACCTTAGAATTTTTTTGAATGTTACACTACAATTCCTTTTATAAGAAAAACACCACCGGGTGCCCAAGTATTTTTACCTAAAATTTCTTTATAAAAAGTCATTCTAAAATTGATGTCGAGAATAAAAAATGAACATAACAAATTTACCTTGAAAAAACTTCCAAGTACAAAGAAATGCACCACATCTTAATAGTAAAAAAATTCCACTTTTATTAATTAATTACAAAAATTATTTTCAATAAAAAAAATTAAATACAATAAATGCAAAAAATGAGTTGATGAGTGACTTAATAAATTGGTCCCTAAAACAGTTTCATCCTCTCTGACTACAACAGAAATAGTTAATTTCCTACCAACAGTTGGCCAAACTCAAGTATTGAATATGTAGCAGAATTTTAAAATATGAAATTTGAAAAAAATCAATAATCTTGAATTGACAAGTACAATTGTGTCCCGAGAACCAGTGAAAAATAAGCCAAAATAATCCTATTAATTACATTTTGCAGTTCTCTCTCTCTTTTAGTTTGTTGCAGTTAGATTCTGATCTCAGTTTTATTTTTTTCATTGTTTTTCTATTGACTGTTTTAAGACCAAATTGAAGATACCAAAGCTGTAATATATAGTCATAAATAACTTGAAATAACTAACTTAAAAACTTACAATAGAAGGGCAGTGAAAAAAAGTCAGTCAAATTACTCAAATTAATTGATATCCAAAGAAAAACATCTCAGATACAAAAAATATTGCACAAAGTAAAAATTATGGCACTCTAAGCAACACTTGTCCAGATGGATTCTGAAGTTCAGTAATGGCATTACTTGATTCTTGTAGGTTGGTGGAGGGAAAATGCCTACAACTTTTCTATTGGTTTGCATGTAAATTTTCTTACACTCATAAATAACTGAATAATGTGTAATTTTTGTTACTGAATATTAATTGTAATAGTTCAGTTTGAAGATAACAACAAACTTATTAATTATATACTTAATACTCATCTAGATGCTTCTTAATTTCCATAACACTACCTTAACTCACTAAGAATTATTAATTTTGACAAATGTTTTCAACCAGTTCTTCAGGTTTTTAAAAAATTTATGGAACATTAATAACTGTTCTTTATGAAATAGAACAGTTAAGAACATTTAAAATACAAAATTCTTTGAAATAATGAGCTGTTTGAATTCAAAAAATAAATTACAGCAATATATATACAATTTTAAAAAATTTATGGAACATTAATAACTGTTCTTTATGAAATAGAACAGTTAAGAACATTTAAAATACAAAATTCTTTGAAATTATCAGCTATTTGAATTCAAAGAATAAATTACAATGATATACAATTTAAAATAACAAACTAATAAAATAAAAAAAAGAAAAATAGAAAGAACAATAACAAGAAAGAACAAAGTAAGTTTATGTATAACAAGCACATGACTGGTGTTATGAGTGAATAGCAAACTACAAAGACTCCCAGTTAATTTTCAAGTGTGTCCACCATTTATAGCCTTTTAAAATGATAAAGTTAAAAAAGGAAAGCAGGCTGGAGTATACAAAATCCCATACAAAAATGAACAATCAGATTTTCGAGAAAGAATACATAAGAGTCGCAAACAAAAACCTCAATAAATGTCTTAAAAAACATATGTATAACTTTGAGAAAAGGCAGTATTGTTCGGCTTTGTCAAGATGCACAAAGCGGCAGTGGTAGATTGAGAGGAAGCTAGCATTATAAAACTGGTACACTCACAACAACATTAGTAATGAATTTGGAAAAAGTTGAAATTTAGAGAAGTAACCTTTTGCAGTAAGCAGATTTTATGAACTATAAAGATGCCACAGTGTGGAAATATATGAGTGAAAAGAATTGTTGGAGAGTACTGCATAATGTCCATACAAACAACAAATGTAATGATTAAAATAAAAAGGAAAAGAAAAAAAATTACATTTTATTTATATAATATAGAATTATTCCAAAGAATCTTGTACTTTAAATGTCCTTTTTGAAATAGAACAGTTATCAATGTTCATGAATTTTTAAAAACCCAAAGATGGCCTTTAGAACAGGTTGAAAATGTTTCTTAAAGTTAATATATAATTCTCAGTGAGATAAGGTGTTGTTGTGGAAATTATTAATTTTATGTCTAACAAGATTTTAAAAATATGTAAAAACTTAATTCAACACTGAAAAAACAAATAGAAATCGTAAAAACTGAAAAATTTATTACAAATTAATTTCTTATATATAAACAGTTTTATTATTAGAAAGATGTAATATAAGCATTGATAGTCTGATCACTTCAATCACTTTTTTTTAAATACATATAATTATTCTGTTTTTGTGTTTGTTAAATTATGTATTTTTAACTTTCTTGAAAGTTGAATAGCCAAAGGTTTGTTACGAAAAAAATTTATTTATGGACAATGTGGAATTAATTGCTATACACAATATTAAAATTTAGGATATTCAATTTTTAATTTCTAAAATTTAAAATTATCAAGTCATTGATTTAACTGATGATTTTTAAATAGCTTTTTCAATAAAACTAAATTAGAAATTATTGATTCAAAATAATTCAAAACTATCAAAAGAGAAAGTGAATAATGATAACTTTAAAAAATTTCTTCTGACCTGAAACTCCTTTCCCTTGACTCTGAGATCCAGAACCATAAGTACCTTTGGCAAAATCTTGTGCTTGAGTCAGACTTTCATAACCAACTACAAGAAACCATTTATTATAACTTATGATTTTTATTCTTGTTTTTACTTTATCAATAAAAGCATTTATTTTTAATTCATAAACCTTTTTTTGATAAATATAAACTGAATAATAAAAATATCTAATCAAGTCTGGAAAGAATATCAAAAATAAAATTGTATGGCAAATAAATAATTGGAAATTTTTACCAAATATCCAGAACCAAATTCCGAAGAATGCACGTTTTGATGCAAACATCGCATCAACTCTCGACTATCTGAGGTAACGAGACCATGTTAAAAACATATGATGAAATATAAGTCTTAAAAGTATATGAATATTAAGCTAAATTATTATCAATATTGATGGTTTTATAGAAACAACGTGAACACAAATAAAAATATTTAAAAGTAATCAATTATAACGAAATTTTTAGTTTCGGTAATAACCTTGGTAAGGCTATTAGGCACGCAAGACGTAAAACAAATTATAACGAATACTTGTCAATTGTCTAATTCACCTCTTAATAGTCGAGAGTTGCATTATCAAAGTTTGAAATACTTCCTGAAACAATCAATGCTCACAGTATTTCACTTTCAATTCTTCTGAAAATTAAATTAATTAAGTCTTTAAAATATTTTTACTATTTATTTCCAGTAATTTCAACTTCAATTTAATTCATAAGCTCCTTTTATCAAACAGAAATCAAAATAAATTTTATTCTTCTACATTAATAAATCTAATTATTCTTTCTAGTAATAAAAATTTATATTAGAAATACACAAAAATGTAGTTCAACAAGGATACATTTTGATGGTATTAATAGAATTTCAACCAGAACAATTTAAAAAAAATTGCTTCTGTAATAGTTGAAATTTTCAAAATTTCATTTGAATCCAAAATTGTTTTGGACGAGGACAACTGATAGTACAATAGCAAAGGAGAAAAAAAAATGCTTATTTCTATTTAAACATTTATGTGTTTTTCATAATACACAACAGTGTTATATTAAAATAATAAAAATGTATTATTTAATTTTATTTTAAAAAATCTCTGTATAGGCCTACATGGGAATACAGATATTTAAATATAAATTTTCTGCAGAGAGAAAACAATTCAATGACAATTGCACAGATCTAAATTGCTGATAACTTTTTTAAACTTTTAACATTCTGCTACATACTATACAATAGTTAGACAAATTACAAAAAGGTAAATACAGTCTATAACACTGTTGATAATTCCGTTTTATATGAATTCCATGTTGTACGGGTCACTTAGATTTTACAAATATGTGAGATTTTACAAATACGGCACATGTATTTGTAAAATCTAAGTGACTCGTACAACATGGAATTCATATAAAATGGAATAATCAACAGTGTTATGGGGGTTGACTCTAATTGTAATGTTTTGCCATTTTCCAGATTGTAGTTTAATTTCTTTTAGAATACAATGAGCCCCTCACTTTCAATTGATTCAGCATATAATCAAATACCTTTACTTATGATGATTCCTGCCAACTGGAACATGTGAGCAAGCATTAGAGACCATATACAGTGAAAACTGCTTAGGCAACCACCTGCAATACAACTCTGGGTTTAAATATAATAAAGGAAAACTAACAAAGTTATTTTCCCCAGATTAAAAATAAAAATTTTGTCAATAAAGGATTTATTCTCTCTCTTTCCCAGCCTATAACTGGGCTTAGCAATTTTAAATACTACCTGGAACTGATAAATTGTTTGATACAGCTTTTATTTTTGTAACTCGTTCTCTTAAAAAAGTAGAAATATTAACATCAAATTTAAAATAGTAAAAGATAAATTATAATTGGAAATCTTGATGACATAAAAGAAAAATTGCCTCATCCAGCAGAAAAATCTATATATATATATATATATAAATGGACATGTATGTCCCTATATTTCACTTTTTCGCAAAAACTACACATCACACGTGAATGATGTTTGTTTGTGGTAGTAGCCCCAAGTCTCTATTCGTGCATAGGGGTGGTTGTGTCTCGATAGCTATAAGGGTGCGGGAGATATGGGCTTGAAAGTAGTTGAAAGTGGCTTTCTATTTCGAATGTTTTGTTCGAATTAAGTTCGAACAATGTTCAAATTTGTTCGAATTAAATTCGAACATAAAATTCGAATATTGGTTCGATTATAGAACGATCGTAAACGTTCCAGAAACGTTGAAAATAGTTCGTTTGACTGGACGTGAACAGGAGACGTTCAGAAATAAAATNATATTCCTCATGATCAGTTCCGCTGAAAGTGGTGAGCCCATCAGGACTCCTTGCTGCCGTAGATATACTTTGTCCTTGAACTGGAAATAATTATTTTCCGAAATAAAAAGTAGAGCTTCACGTAACTCTAAAACTTCTTGTGCTGTAAAGCCCTTCTTGATTAGTAGTGCATTAGTAAGCATAACAGCCTCAGACTGCGAGAGAGAGAGCCACTACATCCAACTTGTAGAAACTATACTCATTTTGTGAAATGTTGTTTAGGACAGAAGATATATAGGCCTTTGCCCCAATGGAGGAAGAGTTAACCCAGTGTTTCTCAGCCTGTAATGAATCGGCGCCCCCTTCAATAAAACCACTACGTAGTAACGCCCCCTTCATTTCAAAATTCCGATGCCGAGGGCCAGGGCTAATGCCAAATTCGTACTGCATTGAATAGACTAGTGACTAGTATAATGTTATTTGTTTAATTATTGTACAATATAACAAAAAAAATAGCTAATTAATTTTAATATAATGTTTTAGTATATCGCCCAGAAAATTGTTTTTCACCCCCAAAATATAAATTGTTACAAATTGCCCCCTCAACATGGAAAAACGCCCACATGGGGCGATATTGCCCCCGTTGAGAAACACCGAGTTAACCAAACAGGAAGGCGATAGGAGCCCACTTAATAACTTGGCCAGCACCTTTTCAAGATGGAAGGCTGGGTGGGTCCTTTCATTAACTAGCGGTCTCAACGGCCAACCCTCCTTATGGGTTTTAACCTTGAAAAAGAACCTGGGGCAAGCTATGTTGGTCGGGGGATCGACATGCCCAGGAAGAGCAGAAACAGTTGGAAGAGATGCTATTTTCTTAACTTTCTTAGGACGGTAGAAGTTGGATCAGTTTGCAAGGGCACTGCATGGGAATGGCTGAGGAAATCAGGCCCTGGCTACAAAATCTTCCTCCTTGCATAAAACAAACTTTTTCTCTGTCCACGTTCAGGAGCTGTGAATTGTTCATTTCCAAGTACCACTTTACAAGATGGCTGTTGACATAATTTCCACTGGCAACCATGGATTGCTTTTGAGAAGTGAGCACAGAAACGATGGAAAGTTTCATGTTTGAGAACTTGGTTGAGGCTTGACAACTCTTCAACACTGCCAGAACCGCCAGGATCGTATCCAATGTGCAGGTGCCACATGGCAGATGGATAAATTTAGGTCCTCTTTGTATAATCTTTAGAATCTGGGCTGAAACTTGCTCTTCTGTATAATTGTAGAACGGGGTTGGTTGTGGATGCTTGCTTCTTTCTTGTAGATTCTAGGAGCCAATTGAATTTCTTATTTAACTTGAAGATTACCTTTCCAGCAAAGGAAGAAGCAATACTTTGTAATTTTCCCAATTGGACATACAGAGAGGCCGTGCCGCAGGTCTTTGTAAATTGTAGGTTTGTAGGTAGGTTGAGCTCTACTTCAGCCTGAGACTTATGCTTAAATTTGATAAGCTTTGAAAGAAGTAACCTTTCCATATTCTGCAAGGCACCTCGAAAACATACAGGGAAGGCTTTCCGGTTGGTGGAGATGCACTTTGGGACTATGTTGTGCCCCCTGCACTTTAGCAAGAAGATCAGCTGGGTGTGCATTCTGTACCATTGCTTTTTCAGGCTTAGCATAACAAAAAAGAATTGAAAAAGAATATCCATTGTCCAAAATTCATCATGGAAGTTAACTATAATTCAGAAATGGACAGCACGCCGATCGTTTACTAGGAGAAACTTCTTAACATATAGGCGTTAAATTACAAATGAATGTCGCTAGATCAACAAGCGCTTTTGATGATAATTATTTTCGTCTCCATCAGGTCATTAAAAATGGTTAAAGGTTTTTTTAAATATGACTATCAAATTATTCCAATGGTATTAACGTTTTGGAATGAAAGCAACGGTAGAACGTAAGAAAACAGAATTTAAATAAAAACACGTTCGGTTATAATGCGCATGTGCTATAAGCCTCCAAACTGTGGGGCTAGATATGTTGTCTTAGACAGTTATACAAGTTAACCCACAAATGGGGCAAATCAAGTATGGGGGGTGTTTGTTTCCAAGTACCGCTTTACAAGCGGTACTTAGAAACAAACACCCCCCCATACGAACAATTTACGGCTCCTGATCTCGGGCAAAGAGAAAAAGTTTGTTTTATGTAAGGAGGAAGATTTTGTAGCCAGGGCCACTGACTTCCTCAGCCATTCCTGTGAAGTGCCCTTGTAAACTGATCCAACTTCTACCGTCCTAAGAAAAGTTAAGAAAATAGTATCTCTTCCAACTATTTCTGCTCTTCCTGGGCGTGTTGATCCCCGTCCAACATAACTTGCCCCAGGCTCTTTTTCAAGGTTAAAACCCATAAGGAGGGTTGGTTGTTGAGACCGCTAGTTAATGAAAGGACCCACCCAGCCTTCCATCTTGAAAAGGTGCTGGCCAAGTTATTAAGTGGGCTCCTATCGCCTTCCTGTTTGGTTAACTCGGTGTTTCTCAACGGGGGCAATATCGCCCCATGTGGGCGTTTTTCCATGTTGAGGGGGCAATTTGTAACAATTTATATTTTGGGGGTGAAAAACAATTTTCTGGGCGATATACTAAAACATTATATTAAAATTAATTAGCTATTTTTTTTGTTATATTGTACAATAATTAAACAAATAACATTATACTAGTCACTAGTCTATTCAATGCAGTACGAATTTGGCATTAGCCCTGGCCCTCGGCATCGGAATTTTGAAATGAAGGG